ATTTAGTGGCACTACCTGTATACAGGTTTGATTTTTAAAGTCTATTATGATTTTTACAAATCAATGAATACATTTTTTTATTGTATTCAAAAAGCGACCTTGTTGTTCTCATCATTGTGAGTAAATAGTAAGTTCATTTAAATTTTGCTAACAATTATTACGTAACATTTGAAATTAAATTAATAAATTCTAAGGGTACCTCGCACGCGGCATATTTTATCCAAAAAAATATGAAGATATCTAGTTTTAGTACCTTTGTAGGCGAAATTTCAAAGTTGGGTAAAATCAAGCGGGACTAATAGTTCAGACCTAAGACGAACTTCACTACGGACCCTCTGCGGACTTATCGAGGACCGTGATCGAACGTCACCCCTCATGCCTTCTAGTTCGATAACCAGCAACGTGTCATAGTTGCACATACATTTCCAAAAATTAAATAATTGAGTTAAATTTCTGAATTGACCAATCCAAGACAACCATATTATTTGTTAAAAAAAAAAACATATTGTTGCTAAACGGTAAAGGGTAGAGGCAAAGAATTAGAGAGTGTAATTGAGCATATGACAAATTTTATTTGTAATATTTCACGGAGTGGTATATTTTTGTTCATTGAGAAAAGAAAGTAGTAATCATAGCTGGGTCCACAGTTATTTACGAAAACCGCATTTTTTTTTAAATTTATACCTAAATTAAAAGAGGTGTTAAGGATAAAATATAATAATAATATATAGAATAATATACAAATATAAATCAAATATAAGCATTCTGACAGCTCGTATGACGTTAATGAGATATTGCATTAGACTATTTTCTAAATATAATATGAAACAAATATGTGTTGACATAGAAAGAGGCCTTGGTGGAGCTAATTACTAAAACATATTTGCAGTATTGTCTATTATATGCATGCATATAATAGAGTTCAAGAACTTTGTTATATTGTATCATGTACTTATTAGATTTTTCGCTGACTAGTTGCATGTTTAAATTTGTTCATTTAAGTTTATATGAAGCTCTCGATAACAACAATCTTTTCTGATATTCTTTTACATTATTTTTAAACAATGTCTGTCAGTAATTTTTTTAATGGTAAATATATTCTTGTGACTGGAGGATCAGGTTTCATTGGAAAAATCCTTATTGAAAAACTGTTAAGATCTTGTGGTGGAATCGAAAAAATTTACGTGCTTTTAAGGAGAAAGAAAGACAATGCGCCCGAGGAAAGACTTAAAATAATCACCGATTATCAAGTAAGCATATAAAAGACAGATATCGTGACCTTTGTAGTATATGTTGGTAAAGGTGGAGGGGTTGTTCCGGCAGAAAAAAAAATGTGTATTCATGTAGGGAAGTAGTTGTTAATTAAGTAAGTAATTTTCTTTTTTATATGAGCATTTTAAATATTAGATTTCAATATTTCTGATTAGAGCCGAAATTATGTACTTAAAGAGTTAAATGGACATCATGTATGGATTCTGGTGAACCTCTAGATATAATTTATTTGGATTTTACGCCTGTCTTTGATAAGGTTCAATACGTAAATTGTTGTGCAAGCTGGAATACATTGGAGCGCGTGGAAAATTACTGTTATAGTCCGGGAGTTCATGGTATTTTAAGGGTAGTCATGTTACCATGGCTGATTTTCACACATATGTAAGGTAAGTGTATGGTACATAAACCAAACCACCTTCAGCTGCTAATCTTCGGGTGGAGTTGGGAGTAATAGGGCCACCAAGCGTTAATTAATATCAAAAAAATAGTATCAAAGCTGAAATTAGTATACTTTGTTTATAACAATAAATGATAAAAGATCATATTCAGTTGAAGTTATGCCAGTGGATAACGCTTCAGCTGCGCGCATAAACAGGTGTGAAAACGTACACGTTCTATACTATCATTAAAATCGATTTCATGTTTGGTACCTTCTAAAAATTTTTTTAGTGATTGGATCCGCCATCCTAGATTTGGAAACTATGAAAATCTAACTTCATATTCGCGAGCAGTGTCCCTGAAAGCCCCCGAGTAAAAAAATTCAGACAAAAATATAAGAACCAGACTGCTTTGGGTGTTTCATTGTGGATTAAATGTTGACCTGTGTTTAGCAAGATTCAACGAAATACCTTTTTTCGTGTATTTCAAGCCGCACAGTGACTTTGGGCGAGGTTTTTTTATCTTGGTGTCATTGAGACTTTTGTTCAGCAAGCTGAAAACTACCTCTCTGCAAAATTTCAGCAAGATTTACCGAAAGACCATTTTCCATATATTTTGTGCGGGGTCCTTTTCGCTATACAGTCTACAGGGTGTTAAAGATAAGTTTTGCCAAACTTTAATGGCGTATTCTAACGATGGAACTAATCAACTTTTGTCATATAAAAATTTTTCATAGGACGCTTCCGTAGGGAGATACAGGGTGTTGAAACATTCAAATATTTATATTTTTCGTGTATCTTCACTGGCAAAAAAAATTTTGTGATAAAATTTGGGGGACGACTTTTTCTAGTAGGAACTTAATCCAAAATACACTCAAGTGGCGTAATTGTTGGGGGAGAAGGGGACCTTTTTTTGAAAAATAATCGTACGCCACCGGTTTTTAAAATAATTTTAAATGTTTTTAAAATTTACAATCAATTTGTGGCAATAAAGTATTCTTTTAAAGTATTCGTAATATTTACTGGTCTTTCGATAATTGGGAAGTCAATTAAGAAGACACTTAAGTACATACGTTGCTATTTATCATTTTCCATTGGTTGATAAATGTGTAACAATAAATTCAGTACCTAATATTTTTGAGAGATTTCAAAACACTATACAACGCCACTGTTTTGTGTTGCAAAAAGTTTGTTGTTTTTCATACAACTAAAAATATTTTAATAAAAAAAGAATTATATCAATTCGTTTCAAGTGTAAAATACATTTCTTGTGATGTTGTATAGTGTTTTGAAATCTTTCAAAAATATTAGGTATTGAATTTATTGTTACACATTTAGCAATCAACAGAAAATGGCAAAAAGCAACGTAGGTACTTAAGTAGGTATCTTCTTATTCGATTCCCCAATCATCTAAAGATCAGTAAATTTTACGAATACTTTATCGCCACAAATGGATTGTACATTTTAAAAACATTTAAAATTATTTAAAAAACCAGTGACGTACGATTTTTTTTTTTCAAGAAAGGCCCACTACTTCCCCAAATAACTACGCCACTGGAGTGAATTTAGGAATAAGTTATCCATGAAAAAATAGTCCCTACCAAGAAAATGTCATCCCCCAAATTTTATCACTCAATCTTTTATGCCAGTGAAAAATAATATAAAAATTTGAAACTTTTAACACCCTGTATCTCCGTAGGGAAGCGTCCTAACAAAAATTTTTATAGAACAAAAATTGATTATTTTCATTGGTAGAATACGCCATTAAAGTTTGGCAAATCTTATCATTAACACCCTGTATAAGCATTTGGTACATAAATCTCACCTATTTATGTTATTTATTTTATTATCTCTTTATTCAATCACATCATTAGTTCATTTTTAGATTAATCCACACCGATCATAACTGAATTTATTCGTAATGTCCAATGTTTTTTATTTTCTAGTTGTTCGATACTTTAAAGAAGATTAATCCCGAAGTTATTAAGAAATTAGTACCGATATGTGGAGATCTAGCCAAACCCAAACTTGGTATGTATGTACAATTCTAGGCATTATTATAAAGTCATATGTTGTCACCTATCTGAGCTCATATGAAAAATGTGAGCCAATGATTTTGAATGCACATAAATCTATGTAAAACACATTGCTGTTACATCACGCTTTTCATATCCACTTTCATTGTTGAACAATATTTCAAAAATAATGAATGTTTGACAGCAACAATGCGCAATTTTCTTACAAAATACGATCGGAATAGTGATTTAGCTTCATCAACTGTGAAGAAATTAAATGAAACATTCAGGGAGACTGGGTCAATCAGTGATCTTAAACACTCCGGCCGTCCTTCAACAGGGCAGAGCGTTCGACACAAGACATGGAAGCAGTTCGTCAGAATGTTGTCCGGAATATCAATTCGGCACCGTGGTCAAGAATTGGACATTTGCAGAAGATCTCTATGGTGTATTCTCACGAAAAATTTGCATCGCCATGCTTACAAATAATTGAGGTCTACAGATCACGCAGAGAGAAGAGAATTCGTTGAATGGATTATGGAGCAACAAGTGGATGCTGATTTTTCGAAGAAACTCATATTTAGCGATGAGGCTCATTTTTACCTTGATAGCTTCGTTAAACAACAAAATTGTTGCATTTGGGATTCAGATAATCCACAAGTGATGGTTGCGTAACAAATGCATCTGCAACGTGTTACTGTTTAGTGTGGATTTTGGACTGGAGGCATCATTGGACCATTTTTCTTCGTACATGCGGCTGGTCAGGCAATAACAGTTAATGGTGCTCGCTATTGCGACATGGTAATCCATTTTTTCTAAATTGCAGGATCTGGATGTAGACATCATGTGCTTTTAACAAGAGAGTGGTTTCCTAATCGTGTAAATACCCGATTTGGTGATCAGAACTGGTCACTCAAACCATGCGGTATAACGATGTTGGACTTTCTACATTGGGGTCCATGACCACTCACATCGCACATTGGGATATTTTGGTATATTTATGGACAAAATTCTTGTTACAAAAGAATTTTCATCCAACCGTAGCAATTTTTTTAAAATACTCGTAAACATCTGTACTTTAAGCAAGAATTGCGGAAATTTCGATATTCTTAAGCTCTAAATTATGGCAAGTCATCTTATGCCTATTCACGCGATTCACGTATTTGAACTCTGCGCATATTTTTGGACAAAAAACCTCTAGACTCTGAAATTCCCTTCGAATCGTAGCAATCGTGATAATTCACTAAACTTCATTGAACGTTATCTCTAAGTTGAAAAATATACCAAACAATTTCAAAATGGGTTTTGACGGGCTTGAGTGATACTTTCACATGGTATATAATATTTTAGAATAATTAACACAGAGTACCAACCAGAGATCCGAGTTGATAGGGAAAAGTTGTCTCTGTTTTTTATCTTTCTCTGAACCTTATTAAACGCAATACTTCTCTCTTTGTCGCTTTAAATGTAAAACAGAGGTAGGTGGAGCTAGAGCTCGTTCTCGGTATAGAAGAAATTTGAAATGGGTTTGGGAAATAATAATGTTTCTGATACAATTTGGTAGGTGGCGCTAGGTGGAAAATATTTATGAGATTAAATTTTTTGAATTTTATAAAATTCGACAGATGGCCAGATAAGAAAACGAGAAGTTTATAAATTCAAGATACGTTCAGTAAAACTTATATGGTTTACAGAAATTAGTTAAATAGCAATGAAAATAATATTAACATTATGACGATCGCATTTTATATAACCTACGCATAGGTTGCAGGTAAGTACGTACGTAAGTAAGTAGTTTATATATAGCGTTGATATTTGTGTTGTATAGTATTTTTTCAGTGCCCATTATTGTATTGACTGTTAATTTAATGTTTAAGTGTGTTTTTTGCGTGAGAAACTTTTGGTTTTCCAATTTTTTTGACACTTGTGACAATGACATTATATTGTATTATTTGTGGGTATTCCGAAGAAGATGTGAAAAAATTATTCTGTTTTCCACGAAACTCAGAGAAGTGAGAATTATGCATAATTTTTATTTTGACAAATATACATATATGTATATTTTTCCTTGATGATGTAAGTAAACTTGTTACTATAAATATGCGAAAAAAAATCTCATCAGTAATCGAAAAATATATGATAATTTTACTACTGAAAAAAAAATATCTATCTGTTATAAATTATAAAATATGATAATTATTTACTACAGTGTAAAACTCTCAAATCATAATAAAAATATATTCCACTAATATATAAAAGAGTAGTTAATACTTATTATATTTATATCTTATTTAGGTATGTCTAATATGTCAGTATATATAATTTATTGTATTATATTTTAGATCCAAAATCTGGCAAAAATCCCTTGGTATGATATATCAGGAAAAATTATCTGCACATATACGACATTGTGATAAGCATTTTGAAAAAAAAATCTTTTAGCTATATATAAAAGTTAAATATATTGATAATAATATAACTCAGTGTATTATTTTTACCATGTCTAAATAAAAAATTTAAAAAGAAAAAAACATTTTTACATGTTACTGCACAAGATTTTACACAAATTTTTGTATAAAGTAGGTTGAGATATTTCCAACCTGATACTTTATATAAAATTTTGCAGAAAATCTTGTATACTGGTAATAGGATTTAAAGAATATTTCAAAATTCCCGCTATGAGGCATACCGCGCCATCTACGTAGGTTTTATATTAAGAGCGAGAGAGTAAAGTGATATAGCTCTGTCTCTTGAACTACAATTACACGTTCACTTGGTCATCTGGTTGGTAATCTGTGATAATTAATTTAAGATGTAATATAACCTCAAAGTTATCAAAAAACAATGGTTTTCGTCCTTTTAGCTTAGGATATCTCAAATCCTGAGATGATGAAACAATTTTGAAGAGGGATTCAGATTCGCACTAAAAACGTTCGTAAAAGTTTTGTCTGGTTTCTGGGTTGTAGGATCTTTGAATTTTTATCGGTCTGTATAAACGTATATTTTTTATAATCTTGGATCGTATAGCTTTTTGTTCAAAAATACGCGCAGGGTTCAAATACGTGAATTGCGTGATTAGGCATAAAAATGACCATAGTTTAGGGCTTAAAAATAGCGAAATTTCCGCAATTTCTGCTTAAAGTACATATGTTTACGAAAAAAATTGCTACGATTGGATGAAAATTCATTTGTAACAAGAATTTTGACCATAAATATACCAAAAAATCCCACTGTGCGTCGTGAAGGAGGAGATTGAGCGCTGTATCAACGAAATTGGGCCGCATTTATACAAAACGGTCGTGGAAAATTTCGACAAAAGAGTGCGTTAATTTATTAATTCTAAAAAGACCTTTTTACATGCTTCCAATTGATTCCAATATACAAAAATCCCACGGTACTGCTATGAAATGTAACCAAAACGTCAAATGTCTGTCAACTGATGATGAATTAATTCAGTGTCTTGTCAACGTGACAAAGCATGGTGAACTTAAAATACTAAACATTTCTTAATTTGACTAGAGTTAACGCGATGCAAAACAGGAATTTAGGATTATTACATCAGCTGCACTTAATTATTAATGTGACGTTATTGCAAACTTATCATAAATACCGTTTTATTGTTTTATTACAATGGTACAAACTCTTTTTGATAGACATTTAGTTCAGTGTGCAGGCAGATTTTAAATAAATATAACAAATTTTGACTAACTTTAGTACGAAAATAAAAATTACGGTTTTCTAAGATAATACATGTTTCAGTCTTTACTTTTCAGAAAAAAAAAACAGTGGACAAATCGAGTAATAAATATATTATTTTCATCTTCGTTAAATGTAGAAAATATATTAATTTTTAGGTTTAACCGAAGAAGACACCCAAACTCTTATTGAAAACGTGGACATCATCTACCATGGAGCAGCTTCAGTAAGATTCGATGATCACCTGAGAGATGCAGTACTACTGAATACAAGAGGTACTAAAGAAGTAGTAGACATAGCAATGCAAGCAAAGAAGTTAGTAACGTTTGTGCATATATCTACTTCATATTGTAATTGCGATAGATTCGAAGTAGAGGAAAAAATATATCCAGCACATGCCGATTGGAAAAGTACCATAAGATTAGCGGAAGAAGTTGATCAACACACTTTAAGTATTTTGTCACCAAAATATATTTATCCTTTACCAAATACTTACACATTTGCGAAATCTTTATCTGAACATGTTGTTAACGATTTGTGCAAAGGCAAACTGCTTGCAACAATTGTCAGGCCTTCAATTGGTAAGTAAATCCAGAAAACTGAAAGATAAAATTTACTTTTGCTAAAAATCATAAAATTTATAGATATTTATCTCTTGTATTTTCATTAATCATCACATTTTAAAACAGTAAACATAAATATTATTTTTCGTTCAAATATTTGTCTTTCTGAGGAAAATCAAGATGCAAAATATTTGTTAAATAAAATCGGTTGCAGTAAATCAACCAATTGTTAGCAGCATCTTAAATTCACTGCTCGCTCTTTTTTTTCAAATTTTTGTGTCACAAAATGTTAATGGCTTTTTGAATTATAAAATTGAAAATCATGAAAAATGTTACTTTTTATCTACGTGTAGGAAAACAAAATTACGGTACACTATTGTTACTATTCTGCATACAACGTAGGTACAATGAAGGGCAACTTAAAGTCCCCACTAGTTGGATCGCTCTCATTCTCTTGCGCCCCACCACAAATAATTAGGTATGTTTCGGACTGGGAGTGTTGTTTGGAAATATACACCGTGGCACCAAAAACTGTTGTATTCAATAGGGTGAATAATAATTAATCCGATAACAGTTGCATTTGATATTTTAAAATATATTATTTTATTAATGATATGTTAACATTTCGTAGTTAGTTAAATAAGAATATTGAATTATTTGTTTTAAATAAAATATTATATAAAAACTATTTACTTTTTTAATTATTGTTCGCAACATTCAATACCTGCATATTTAAAGTTTTTTTTCCATTACTAGAAATATTCATACAGGGCGGGCCAATAGTGATAATATTATTCCTATTCCATACAGATAGAGAATAATTTTTAGGCGCCTTAAGGGGGACA